GTGGCTGAGGTGAAAACGAGACTCGTCAGTGAATAGAACTTGTCCCTAATGCATGGCCGTCCAGCGTAGGCGCTGTCTGCACCACTGTAGATGTGCTTGACGGTGGTTTCCTGTCAGAATGGGACGTCTGGCGGGTCTTCTGGCGACAATCCCTGCACAATAGAGGCGGCGACGTACGGTTTGTGAAGATATTCGTCGAAGGCCAGGGATGCTTCTTGCAGTCACTGTTGCTGGCTGGAATCGATTTCGTAGGTATGTTGTTCGAATCCATTTGTCTTGTCGATTATTGGTTACGCCTGACCTGTCACTCTGAGGATGGTTTCTGACTGCATTCGTCTGTTGCCAACGTTGCCATAAACACCAAATGGTGTTTCTGTGGACGTCAAATTGTCTTGCAACATCACGTTGACTCCATCCTGCTTCAAGCATACCAATGGCTCGCAGACTCTCAGGCAGGCGTGGTATTTCGTAATGTTGAATAATTGCGTAATTTTGTTGCTTTTCTAAGGGGTTGTTGTCAGCACGATGCTCAACAATGCATATGGAATCCCGTTAACGCACATGTTTTTATACCCATTTATGGGTAGTGAAATGCATGGGGCAAGCTGAAAAGTCAACTTTTGCATGGAATGCATGCTTTTCTGTAGCAGTTGCGTGTTTGTGACTTGATTCCATACATGTACTACAATATTGAAAACCAAACTTTGCTTGTTTGAAAAATACACTAAACTATTGGTGTCACAGGAACTTTTGTTGTTGAGTATATTTTCATGAGTATATTTACTATGGCAAATACGATACCGCCGCATTACGACCTCTTCAAGCATGGACTGACAGCCCAAATAGATGTAACCGATAGTCGGTTTAATTTCATGTAATTTATTGATACCTACTTGTCCCACTACTCTGATCTAAGATCTCTGATGTAACATCTGATCACAGATTTATAAACACTGTAGATTAGAAGTGGCGTCACAGATGTGTTGAGCGCTGATTTAGCAGCCGCATCAGCCATTGTGTTACAAATGATTCCAAAAAAAGACGTTACTGTAAAACTATTGGCCTCGAGAGAGGGTACGTTAGTTCCATTTCATTCAAAGTAAATTTAGCCCTACCAAGATTTTAATCGTAGTATATGTGTTAGTTATAATGCACGGCTCAACCTGCATACTATCACCATCGACTGAAGGGACGGTGTAAATCCTGCTACTGTAGGTCCCCATGGTTCCTGGTATAGTGATCTTCCTTCAGTTGATGGTGCTCTATAACTCGTTTTCATAATGTATTGATATTTTTAGTAATATCTTTTTATGACAACATACCAGTTTCAAATACATATATGTCTTAAGCCTAGTCATTTTGTGCCCTTTGTTTACAGGTGTTCTAGAGTCTAAAGTGACGTTTTCCGAATGTATAAAAATGCTTTAGTCACGATATTACTGATTATGAGTCGCAAGTCACTCACTCACTCCTGTCCTTGGTGTTGTCATTTGCTTAATAGGATGTAAGAGTTATCCATATTTATGTAGAATGAAGGTAAATGAATGCTCCCTTATCATAACAATTCCTGTCTTTTTTTCCTGGAGAAAAGTATGTTTTAGTCAACTGAAGAAAAGTAATACTGGAAAAAAAGTAATACCAAGCATCATCATATGAAAGTACCATAAAGAAAATTATTTAATTAAGAAAAGACCCTTAAATGCATAACAGAAGAGCTGAATGTACTGATCATGAATGTTCTCGGCTACTATACAGGAAGCAGTCATTTGTATTTTTGTTTCATGTTCAATGAAAATATGTCTTTGTAGTACTGTCGTTGATATTACCTGAATCATGACAAAATGTCTTTGGCGTTACTTAATACGTCCATGGTGTTACCTAATATTCCTTGGTATTACCTAATATGTCCTTGGTGTTACCACAAGTCAGCAATTATTAACTTCGAATGGGCAATGGATACAACATGTTGTGTGCAACTGAAATTACTCTGAATTCATATTAACGAAATGTTATTGTTATCAAAACACTCTAGTTTAGGGTCAGATGAAGATAAATGTCTTTGGTGTTACTTAATATGTCATTGGTGTTACGACAAGTCAGCTAGTAATAACCCTTGAGTTAGTGTTGACAGGTAAAACATGCCTTGTGCCATTGTAATTACAACTCCTAACTCATATTAACACTCACATTTATGACAACTCCCTGACTTTAGTTCCTTTATAACAACTAAATGTCTTTGGTTTTATTTATTGTGTCCTCTGTGTTACCACAAGTCAGCAGTAGTCCCTTCAAAGTAAACGTTGTTAACACAAATGTCTCATGTCATTTCCAATATGCAACACCATTTTCCTCCTGACTGATTATTGTGAGATGAAAGAAAAGTCGTTATGAGTAATGGTAATGTTCTTGGTGATACCGTCTTGTGTTTGATGTAACGGTTTTGTCTTTGGTATTACCGGAGGAAATTCTGAAAATAATTCGGGGTAAACACACATGGCATAGCTTGATTTTCATAAATATACATAAAAAGTACATAAACAACAAGTTCAATACAAAAAGAATATTGAAATTATATTAACATTGTTAGTAGTGTTTGGGACACAGAAGAGCAAATTATCAATATGTGTTTAACTCCAGGCCTTAAAACGTGATGATTTGAAAATGAGATTCCTTTTCTTTTCCAGGCATAGTTTAAATATTAGTTTTACAATAGACTGAATATAAATTATCAATGCAAGAGTATAACCAGGCTAGATTTTTTGCCGAAAAAGATTCCACATGGCGATAAGGGTGATTAGCTGTGGAAATTATATGAATGAACCTCGGAAAATCAGTGATGCCACCGCGAGAAGCTTTAGCATGTACTGCGCTACTGGTAGCACCCACCATTCATAAAATTTGCAATTATTGTCCCCCCGAGAGGATACATCAGCTCCACATCGTTCAAAGTAAATTTAAGCCTACCATGATTTTAATCGTAGTATATTCGTTAGTTTTAATTGACGGCTAAACTTGCATATAATCGCCAGTGGCTGAAGGTAGGATGTAAATCCTGCTGGGGTCCATGCAGGTAGCAAAGGTACTATAAGTCCCCATGGTCCCTAGTATGGTGATCTACCTTCAATTGCTGGCGATCTATAGCCCGTTTTTATAATGTATTGTTCTGTTTTGTAATAACTTTTTTATGATCACGTACTAGTTTTAAAAAGAATAAATAAAAAATGATGATATCCGTGATAAGTCTAGTAATTGTACTGTCCTTTGATGACAGGTTTTTATATAACGTGTTGTTTTCTTAACGTATAAATTGCTTTAGTCACGATATGGCTGAAATATTGCCGCTGTGACTATAAATACTCACTCACTCACTCACTCACTCATAAAATTTGCATAAAAAGTAAGTATTTATTGCCTGACGCAGCAGAGCAGCAGTACCAATTTTGAAAATGACCCATACATACGTATGATCCGCCGAGGTAACGATGTGTTATTTTACACTTACAGACAGCGATAGGGGGAATAAGGGTCCTGTCCGGAGATAGCTTATTAGTGGATGCGCCAAATGTTTGATGAATATATTAAACAGACAAAGGAGATTTAAGCGCTCTTTGGAAACATATTAAAACAATAAGGTATTCTTATATAATGAAGTTTTAAAGGAATCTATTGAAGTGGTGTTCACTATCATAGGGCTAACACATCTAGAAACATAATCTAATCTCAGACGTTTTTCGATATGTTACCATGGAAACCAAACTTGGAAGGAATATTGATGGACATTGTCTATGGGGTGATTCAGCCAAAGTTTCAGAATTGTACGTCACACACAATCTGTGAACAGTAAGTGTTATCCGTTTAATGTAATAACATACTGTCCAATTACCGGCATATAACTCCCGAAATATCAAATGTACATTGATATGTTAAATGGGGCGGTCGGGTAGCCCGGTGGTTTAAGCGGTCGTTCGTCACGCCGAAGACCCGGGTTCAATTCCCGACATAGGTACAATGTGTGAAGCCCATTTCTGGTGTCCCCGCCATGATATTGCTTGAATATTGCTAAAAGCTGCGTAAAACCATACTCACTAACTCACTTAATTTGTTTCTGATGCAGATCCCTATTATGAGATAAAACCCTTTCCACAATCATAAGAAATCTCCATGTACGATTACCTATATCATATAAACATGTGTTAAATACTATCAAACAATGGAGACACCAGGTGGTCGAAATTTCGGGGGTATGACGTTATCTGCAACATAATTATACTATTTTGACGGATGTATGAACTGAAAATATAGTGGGAAATAGATTCAGTACACATATAGACTTACGACACTTGATTGATTGATTGATTGATTGATTGATTGATTGAAGTGATATATTGGTGACAACAATCGATCATGTTGAATAAGTTTATCAATCTTGGATTCATATATAACGTAGATACCTACTCCTAATATAACCAGTGACAGACGTGTAAACATCTGTTTTACATATAATTCTTTTAAATTCGAAAATGTTCATGTAGCCATAACAGTATGGAAACACTACTTCTTGTATGAACAATGAGTGTCCTTATTTGAATTAAAATATATATTGGCCAATTATTAAACGCGGAAACCTGCTAATTGGAAACGCATATGGTTATCTTCATTTTAGCATGACAAAACAAAACGTGGAAAGTTTGTTCATAGCAGAAGTGATGTCTAATATGGCATAGCAGTGGATTAAACGGACGAATTCAGGGATCAGTGAAGATCTGTTTCAATGTTAACTGTTACCATGTTAGTTAAACCACCTCAATACGAGAAATCAATAACTAATTACATACCCTATGAGCAACGTTATGGTCCGCAGACACAGTACTGTAAAAGCGTCAAGCTGTGTTTTTGTTGCAAAATGTGAACAGTTGGCCAATCAGAATGCAGGGTTCTCATGCCACGATTCTCTTGGTTAAAATAATCTGAAAACGATCGATTTTGAATCAGGATATACTATGCGCAAAACCTTGAGATTATTTGGGGCACACACCTTGGCTGTCAGGTAGTTGAGGGCAGTTATCAGGTAGGTCATGATACTGTTTCTTATTTTAAAATTATTACTGCTAACACTTATAATAGAAAAGAATGCATTATAAGAAGGCACTGCTTAAATTTCAAAGTGGGTATAATGCATTAGGCATTCGGAAACGTCGGAAGTGTTTATGCAGTACATGATAAGGATATTCTTTGTATTAAATGCTGTGTTTTTTAGGTTTTATTTCAAAATAGGGATTTGCATCAGAAACAAATTAAGTGAGTGAGTGAGTATGGTTTTACGCCGCTTTTAGCAATATTCCGGCAATATCACGGCGGGGGGCGCCAGAAATGGGCTCCACACATTGTACCCATGTCGGAAATCGAACCCGGGTCTTCGGCGTGACGTGTGAACGCTTTAACCACTAGGCTTAACCACCGCCCCAACTATCCAAGATAAAAGGAGTTCTCCAATAAATTTGCTAGTGTTTATGTCCTGTCTATCAGAATATCCTAGGTATAAGGGGGCATCCTACCTGTGGCACGGTTTTAATGCTGGATTTAGCTTAGGCAATACTGGGGTTTACACACCCTGCCCTGCAAAAGACCTCAACTCAGCAGGATGGCAGGACCCTATCTTGCAACCCCACTGCAAGAATTTAGAATATCTCCCATTGGAATGGTTCCTGGTCATGATCTCAAATGTTTGGTGTGGTGAATTCACTTTGTTTTGAGTTATGGGGACAACTTTTCTCAGAAATTACTCAAGTTCGCAAGCTTATCTAAGAGTTACTTGTCAAGACTTAGTTTGGTTATGACCCTTGATCCATGTAAATCTATTTAGTACAGAAACTACTGAAGAGATATTTATCAAGACTGAGTTATATTCTCCAGAGTAGGGTCCTTTTGTGTGTATTAATTTCATATTTAATACGTTTTTCAGATGACATAAAGCGGCCAAAGTGCCTGTCTCTTCTGGAAGTTTTATAGAATTCTTTTTTACAGTATATATTCACCACTATATGCAATTATAATGTGGTCCATGACGGACATTAGTATAACGCTGTTTTCTTATCATTTTTAGAAGAAATGAATCTGGAAAGCAACATGTCTACATAGCCACAACATTATAATAGATTTGTTGGTTATACTTGTCACTGTCCAGTCAGTTCAGGGTCCTTAGGAACTGTACGTCTTTTTGTACACGCTTAGTTTCTGCAAATAGTTTATTTTGATGGAAACAAATAACTGCGAGAAGGGAGATTCAGAACCTGATCCTTGAGAAAATATAGACTTACTTCATTTAGACCTTTTGCATTACAGAAAGGGCTGGGCAGAAGGGAAAATAATATGGTTCAGGGTCTGTGAGACTCCGTTTTGGGCAAATTGGCCCCACTGATTTTATAAGGTTACAAACGTAGCGTGTGCACCAACGTATACGTGGATCAGTGGAATGAAACTTTAGCCTTAACATGTTATTTTCATATAGACACCTATAACTCTTGCAACTGGGAGTAGATTGATGTATCCGTACTATCATCAGTTATATTTACAAAAAAATATTTCAGAACAGGGAGGGGAAGGTCACATTCAAACTTCATACTCCCAAAATGATTGAAATGGACAAGGCGTGTTTTTGTGCATAAAAACACATTGGTCCGTTTGTAGCTTCGTAAAATGTTGATAAAAATAGACGTTAAACAGCTTTGACTACCATTCTTGGCGTATTTGTATGATATGTGTAAACAGGGCGGAAAATGAGCCCAAGTAACTACAGAAAAAGAGGGTCCACAATTGCTGACAATGTTAAGCCCATTCGACAATGTTCATGTGAGTAATTTTGTAGGAAGGACAGAATGCTTATACGTGGGTAATATCGTGCATAAATTCGCGGAACAGAAATGACTGCGTTTAGTGAGCGCCAGTACCAAGCACCATATATCTTGATATTTTCATCAAGAACAACAAAGACTCAAATGGTTTCATTTCCGAACATTTGATGACTTCTTTTTCGTGACATGGTATTTATTTATATATGCTCAGTATATAATAATAACCAAGTGTATAATATTAGGATTTGGAAATTAGGATAGGCATTCTTATCAATTCAGTCAACACCTTCAATCAAACATCATCATTTGTAGAATTGACCCCCATATAATTGTTTCTCTCAAATCAAATGACATTTGATACACATGCAAGGAACACGTCAGATAAGACGTATATAACAAACTGATTTTTCCCGTCGCTTTTTCGTTATAACCATATTCTGTTGAGAACACAGGTGCAGAAATGTGTTGTGCAAAGTTGCGTCCCTTGGGGACGTCAGAAACCTACGATCATGGGTTCGAGTCCCGGTTGGCCCCGATTATGTTTCTAGGTTTGTCAGCACCATACCCGTGCTCGTGGGTTTCACCAAAGTGGTAAACGTCTAAGACCTGCATCTTAGACTTCAGACTTTAAGCTTATGCACCGTGATATAACTCAAATAATGTTCACAGGGGCGTTAAACCCATTCACTCACTCACTCATTACTGTATATGTCCTCTTCAGAATGCATTCCAACTTGACGTATGACGTGAAAGTTGCTGCGGTAGAGTCGAAGGACTCCGAGGACTCCGATCATGACGAAATAGAGAGGAGAGAGGCGAGGGACAAATGGGCTTCCCAGATAGAATACCTGCTGTCTATGATTGGCTTCTGTGTAGCACTTGGCAACGTGTGGCGATTTCCGTACATCTGTCAGAGAAACGGAGGAGGTTATCAGATATTGGCATTTTCCAAGGCGATTTATTCCATATCAATAACTATTGCTTTGTTAAAAGGTGTTACTTCATCCTTCATAGGACATCCAAATATGTTTACGTATATATGAGCTGATTTGTGTCACTCCCTGGATTAGAGTGCGGCGTTTTAAACCATTTGACTCGATTGAAATCTATTATTTATGTAACACGTTGGTTACTGGCTAAAAGGGTTCTTCCATGACCAATCGTCCATGCACATGTACTATGGGCATTATCAGAAACAGTAAATTGTTGTTTGTTTGTTTTAGGGGCGTTCTTGATTCCTTTCATCGTGTGCCTTGTGCTGTGTGGCCTTCCACTTGTCTTTCTCGAAGTGGCACTGGGACAGTTTTCAGGGATGGGTCCTTCACACGTCTGGAGCCTTTGTCCATTGATGAAAGGTAAGTGACTAGTTTGTTGTAAGAGCAACTTATATTTCTGGTCAGCTGAAACATGTTTTTCTTGTTCGAGCATATAAAAGGGACATAAGAGTCATATGATCACGAACCCCTTTCCCATCGTTGTGAGTGAGTGAGTGAGTGAGTGAGCTTTTCGTCGCTTTGAGAAATATCCTAGTAAATCATCACAGGGTACACAAAACAGGCTTCACAAATTATGGTATCCATGTGGTAAATAGACTGGGGCCCCTTTGGTAAGTAAACGCTTTAACCACTAGGCTGACCTGTAGCGCTGAAATGGTTTCCTTACAAAACTGCGTCAGACATTGAAATTTAACAAAAACCTATAGAAACAATGATATTGTAAGTGGGTAACATTCCCTTATATTCTGGCTATAAAACATTTCATATGTAATACGAGACACAAAAGCATCAAATTGTTTTAGACTTTTCATTCCAATAAAATTATAATTATACTGAATGACAAAGTTGATACAGTCTGTGTACTTTTTTCAGGTAACTCGAACGGAAAAAAAACCGTAAGCTGTTTTCAACCAGTTATCATCTATATGATATGAAATATCACGTCATTGTCTTTCATGCAGGTATTGGCATTGGTATGCTGATCATATGCGTTGGGTCTGCTGTCTATCTGAACGTAATCTGTGGCTGGGCGATGTACTATGCCATCGCCTCTTTCAACTCCGTCCTACCCTGGACAGACTGTAACAACACATGGAACACGGACACTTGTGTTACTGACGTCGAGGCATTACATCATAGATTATCTGGAGGTATCACTGTCAAAGCCTGTAAATTACATGCAATCGTAACAGATGACAAGTGGTACAGTTCTAAAATGTAAAGTCAACGTTTAAAACTGTCTTTGGGGCGGTCGAGTAGCCTGGTGGTTAAAGCGTTCGCTCATCACGCTGAAGACCCGGGTTCGATTCCCGACATGGGTGCAATGTGTGAAGCCCATTTCTGGTGTCCCCCGCTGTGATATTGCTGGAATATTGCTAAAAGCGGCGTAAAACCATACTGACACACTCACTAAAACTGTATTTGAAATGTATGATACAAATGTGTATGTTTAACAGGGTGTTTCTGTATCATGAGTTCCTGAATATGCAGCCTATGTCATCATCAACGTTAGCTAATAACCTACATTTCGTTCAACAAACAATGCATCGAAAGAAATATTGAACTTATATTCTGCAGGGTTTAATGTCACGACTGACCAGTTCAACAAGACCCACAGCATCAATGCACCTTACAGCAATATCACAACATACAGTGTCGAGGACTCAAACATTGAATATCGTACAGCTGCAGAAGAATTTTGGCAGTACGTTGAGGTTTACCGTTTGCTATTATAATATTAATTTGCAGTCAATGAGTTCTCTTTAATATAATGATTTCAATTATTTTGAGAATAAAACAGCAAATATCTTTTTAGTTATGATATTATCTAATCTGCCTACCTGAAGTTAAAACCCGTGAAGATCCGGATTAGAACATTATATTCACATAGTATAAAGCGTTCATCAGGTGAGCGATAGGTCGGTTGTTCGATCTATTATCACATAATACCAAAAGACGTTAAACGATGGAACTTGATGTTATACTGCCTGGTGTTGGACATTTAGTGGATGAAACAGGAGTGGCTGGCTCGGAGTCAGTAAACTGTGATGAGTGGGGTATCTATGTTAAACTGCGGCATGGTATCTCGGAGGGCTATAAAACCTGCAGTTCGGACTACTGCACATGTGTATGAGGGGCTGTTGGGTAGCCTAGTGGTTAAAGCGTTCGCTCGTCACGCCGAAGACCCGGGTTCAATTCCCGACATGGGTACAATGTGTGAAGCCCATTTCTGGTGTCCCCCGCCGTGATATCGCTGGAATATTGCTAAAAGCGGCGTAAAACTACACTCACTCACTTACATGTGTATGAATGTCGCAATATAAGAGCAATGATCTTGAACTTGACGTTTATCGTATATTCAGATACAAGGCGCTTGGTATATCGAAAGGCATCGACGACACTGGATCAATCAAGTGGGAGATGGCCTTGTGTCTTCTAGCATCCTGGTTTCTCATTTTCATATGCGTGGTGAAAGGCGTGCGATCTGTTGGGAAGGTATAAATACAGTGAAGTCTCATTAATCCGACAATCGGCTTTATCCAACACTTATTATGGGAACCGATTAAATCAGTGCTATTAAGACCCGTTAATCCGACATTATCGAAATCCGACTCCGACACACCTAATTTGCAACAACCCATTACAGGTCACGTCAGAACAACCTTTCGAGAACTATGACCGACCAATGAAATGACTAACGGGAAGTCAACGCTAGCCACTTAGAAAGCAGCTTTCTGAAGCTTTGCGGTAGCAGTTTCAAACTTGCGACTTCCATTCCAGACTATGCTTTTTAAAGTATTTTGAATAAGTCATACAGCCCGTAACAGCTGTTTTGTGCTAAGCTTTAGAGGTTGCATGATTAGAAAACATATTCCCCTAGCAATGTAACATAACAATATGAATATTTCATTTTTATTTTTTTATTACGTGTTTGTATCGTTATCTATCGTGTAGTTTCCAATTATCGATCACGAACGTTGATACTACCTAATTTCGTTTATCAGACATACTCTTTACTCCGACAAAATCATATGCAACAAACCATGTCGGATTAACGGGACTTGACTTCATAGTGTCAGTCTTACAGAAATAGAAAACATATTCCCCTAGCAATGTAACAAAACAATATGAATATTTCATTTTTATTTTTTTATTACGTGTTTGTATCGTTATCTATCGTGTAGTTTCCAATTTTCGATCACGAACGTTGATACTACCTAATTTCGTTTATCAGACATACTCGTTATTCCGACAAAATCATATGCAACCAACCATGTCGGATTAATGGGACTTGACTTCATAGTGTCAGTCTTACAGAAATAGAAAACATATTCCCCTAGCAATGTAATATAACAATATGAATATTTCATTTTTATTTTTTTATTACGTGTTTGTATCGTTATCTATCGTGTAGTTTCCAATTTTCGATCACGAACGTTGATACTACCTAATTTCGTTTATCAGACATACTCGTTAATCCGACAAAATCATATGCAACCAACCATGTCGGATTAACGGGATTTGATTGTATAGTGTCAGTCTAACAGCCATATGTAACTTAAAGCAGGACCACGAGCAAGACAGTTTTGATGAGATTGAGGTACTGAGAGAAAAGTAATATTTTAGATGTTGTATTTTACTTGTATGGTAAAAGGGTAGCGTTTTCCTGAAAGGTATTACCTTTCGTTAGAATTTTACCTGGATGTATACATTTCGCTTTGATAACATGAACAGAGATAGACGGAAAATGAAGTAAAAAGATACTGGTTTTGGTGTCCAGAAAGTATAAAGTATTATAAGATTGATATAAGATACTGACAGTACAGAGAAGGTAATTTGTATGTTGATAAAAGTATGACAATACAATACATTGCCAGCACAATGAATAAAAGGACTATATCTTGATATATTTCAGGCTGTCTATGTAACAGCAACCTTACCCTATGTGATCCTGATTGTACTGCTCATTCGTGGCCTGACTCTACCGGGCGGAACCGATGGAGCTATATTCTATATCACCCCAAACTTCAGTAAACTTCTGGAAATACAGGTACTGTATCACAAAAGAAACACAATTATAATTCGGGCCATGTATTATCGTGAACTGATAGATTACCCCACCTGTAAAGATGCGGGTTAGAACAGTCTTTAGCAACCCATGCTTGCCGTAAAAGTCGACTTTGCTTGTCGTAAGAGGCGACTGACGGGATCGGGTGGTCAGGGTCGCTGACTTGGTTGATGCAGGTCATTCCTGTTGCGTGGATTGTTGCTCATGTTGTCAATCACTGCATTCTCTGGTCCAAACTCGATTATTCACTATCCGCCGTCAAATAGCTACAATATTGCTGACTGCGGCGTTAAACAATAAACCAACCAACAACAACATAAGATTACCTGATAATTAAAAAACTGTATATTTGATAAGGTGCTAAAGACATACTTTTCATCATTACCTAACCTTAATTGTAAGATACCTGCATACAGTGATAAAAGATTTCATTACCTTGTTCGGATGGTTGATGACTCTATGGTTGTAGTATAGGTGTGTTCAACGCAGAATTTCTATGGCTACCTTCTATTGATTATGTCAACAAAACCGAAATTTTGGATTTCATTGGTTCTAAGTTGAAGACTAAACATTGACACAGTAATGCTGCAATACCTCCCAATATAATGCTGAGAAAATGAAAACGGCTTCTCTGAACTGAAGAGTCAAGACTTCGAGACTCCAGATATACTTGAATTTAGCAACCAAAAAATATATTAAATGTAACGTTCTCTCAATCAATCTACTTTATGACATGATGTTCCACCATAATCCATTTTGCTTTGGAAAATAATCATGAAGTCATGTACTTCTTCATCAGGTGTGGTTGGAGGCATGTCTCCAGGTATTCTACTCTCTGGGTCCAGCCTGGGGTTGTATCATTACCATGTCCAGCTACACCAAGTTCCACACAAACTGTCTCAGGTAATCTTACCACAGTGTCATTGTCATGCTTCATTTAGAAGGGGATCTTACTGGAAATTTCAAACAATAAAAGCAAGTAAAGTACAGAGGTAACAGTTTCGGATTACAAGATAAAAACATGGCGGTGTATTAGTACATCAAACAAAAGAAGAAAGTAGGATCCCAATTTGATAGTGATTCATAAAAAAAAACCTGTGCATGATATAGTCGGAATCGTACATTCGACTCTGCTTTTGGCCGAAATGTCATTTGAATATGGAAAGGGTTTTGTCGCATTTGCAAAGCTTGGATACAAAACAAATGAACTAAAACAACGTCAGGTCAGCTGCACTGTACCATGACAAAGTAACGCAAACTTATTCCTAATAATGGAAGTCATTTTGCTTCGGTTAAGTCAAATATATTTAATTTAAATGGTTGAATTCAGGGATCAACAACGATCGGATTTAATCCCTGTCCATTTTTTGTCATTTACTTATACCATAATTCAAACAGAGACAATACAATTGCTTAGCGGACTCATCCAGTAGGCATTCCCGAAATGATATGAAGCGACCCTTTCAGTTTTTTTCTTCTAAATTGCTTTTCACGCAAAGGACGTCATTGTGTTCAACATTCCGGTCTTAATAAGTCTGACGAGTATTTGTAACGGCCTGCTGACAGTAGATGATGTAGAGGTGGTTTCGAATATATATTTTCTTTCGCGGTAGGACGGTCATCAGGAAAATCGTGGACTAATTGACGTTTCTCTGAATGAAAGGAAAAATATATATTATTGTACATTGTTTGTTTGTTGTTTATCGACGCACACAGCAAAATTCCAGCTAAACTAGTGTCCAAAAGAAACGATACCACCTGTTTGCAACGACATAAAAGAAAAACTAAACAATGCAGAAGTTTAGGATTGGTGTTATGCTTTTGAGAAATCCTTTCACAACATCTGTACAAAAATTTCATTTCAATAAAATCTGTACAACCAATATGACAAGCCTTTAAAGATGGGTGGGGTCGAAAAATGAACATTTCGTTAGAGCACTGATCACAGAAACAACGGGAAATGTCACACCACACGTCTCAAAGTCAAGTCAGTAGCGGGTATGTCCACCGTGAGCATCAATACATGCCAGAACACGCCTACGGACTGATGACGTCAAACGTCTGATGACGTTGGCAGTGTGATGCGTTGCCATTCCTCGAGGAGACATCGTTCCAAGTCCTGGACGTTGACTGGAGGCACACGGCGACGTCGGATTTGCCGATCGAGGTGGTCCCATAAGTGCTCGATGGGATTCATGTCCGTTGAACATGCGGGCCATGGCAAAACCTGTACGTTGGCGTTGGCAAGGAAGTTCTGTGTCAATCTTGCTGTGTGTGTGGCCTGTGTGTGTCATGTTGGAAAAGGAGTCCACGAGGCTGTTGCTGAATAAAGGGCACCACAACAGGCCGTAGGATGTCATCAAGATAACGCTGTGCATTCAGGTTTCCACGAATTACGACAAGCATCGTTTTGACGTCACCACATATGCCACCCCAAACCATTAACCCTCCACCTCCAAACGGCCGGACCTGTTGGATACAGTTAGGCGCCAAACGTTCACTAAATCGTCGGTATACAAGCTGCCGTCCATCGTTTCTGAAGATGAGGAATCTGCTCTCATCAGAGAACATAACACGTGCCCAGTCCCGCCGTTGCCAACGTCGAACTCGCCTGGCCCAGATCAGTCTGTTGTTCCGGTGTCGAGGCGTCAGGAGAACGTGCAGAACGTGCTAGAGAGGGAAATGTCACTTTCACGAAATTTACGTTTTTTCCCGGAAGTGATCACGTGTTCCCGGTATTTTTTATCGACTATGCTGTGTTTGGGATGTGCAATACGAATTGGCATGTTTTCATACTAGACAATTCACTTAGTAAAAAACAATTTTGAAAATTAGTTGGTATCGTTTCTTTTGGACACTAGTTTATATGACGGCCGTCTGCAAGTAATCGAAACTTGACTAGGCAATCCAGTTGTTGGTATCATGAGCATCGATCTACCCAATTGGGATCGATGGCATGCATCAACGGAATCGGCGAGCATAGTAACTTTTTACGGCAAGCATGGGTTGCTGAAGTCATTATTGAATGCTGGTATTAGATGTGATATTTTACATGATTGGCTGACAATTAATGGTGCTTTAATGTGTATATTTGTTGAACTGTGGTGCATGACCTGCTTCATAGTCTTCTATCAAACTGTTTATGGATCGAAATTATGATCAGTTGGTTTTTGTTTAGCTGTTGTATGACGCTACCATCCGCAATATTTCATCTATATGACGGCGAACTGTAATTAATCGAGCCTGGATCAGACATTCTAGTGACTGACATCTACGCAATATGATTCGGATTCGACAATATGATCCCGTTAGTCGCCTCTTACGACAAGCATGGGTTGCTGAAGACCAATTCTAACCAGGATCTTCTGAGGGGCTTCCAATTAACTTTAATTATTAGAAATGTATAGACAAATGCACCAAATATATCAATGAAAGACTCAATAACGTTTCTTAATTCTGATACAAGTTGGTTCCTGGTTGTTTTGATTTAATGAACACAGTTTCTGTTTTAATTGATCCAGGAATGCGATTCTAAGCACATTTGTGTGCGAAGGAACAAGCATGTTTGCTGGTCTTGTTGTCTTTACGATCCTTGGATATATGTCTCACGAAGCGAACGTACCAATAACGGAAGTTGTTTCATCAGGTAACTACATATAATTTTGCTGACATGTCATTAATGATAAAAAAAATATTACCACACTTATTGGCATTTCAGCCTGCGCGTGTATGTGTGTGTGAGTGTGAGGGTGTGTGAGAGTGTGTGAGAGTGTGTATGTGTGACCTTCAAAAATATATTCTCTGGCGTTGACGTTTTATAAACACATTGGCAAAAGAAAGTATACATTTTCAAATTGATTTCCCCCCAAGACGTTTGGTGCCAGGCTGTATTCAAAAAGTTCATCCCTGTGGTGGAGGTGGTGTAATGGTTTAAGGTGTAATTTGTGGCATCATCAAAAATCAAATTAAAAGTGTATACTTTATTTTGCCAGTGTGTTTATAAAACGTCAAAGCCAGATAATAACCAGTCTCCATTATCTTCCGAAACAGTTTCCATTGGGCTTAAAAGGCAAAACAGCGGGGGAAATTATATGAATGGATCAATGAAAATCGGTGATTACACAAGGTGTTCGCGAAAAGAGCATGCCTGATACGTCCTGCTCTACCGGTAGCATTCAACATTCACATTGGATAGTTTGAATAATTGATTTGCCTTTGCATGTACTTGTAACGGGTGCCACAGGGTATATTACATCTTTTCGCGAACACCTAGTACATTATATGACAGTTATTCATATACAATTGCTATATTGTCGGAATCGTACAATCCCTTTTCTATGATTATAAAATGAATTTTGTTTCGCACTGAAATTGTGCATTGACTATCGCCTGTGACCCTATTTAAGCATACACCATCATTGAATAACATTCTCTTGTTTGTTTTCATTTTACTGACCATCAAACATTGGTGTATACTTTCTTTTGCCCTCTAGTTTATTTACGTTTGTAGTGAAGGTTTCAGCACTAATCCCTAAGTGTACACATGTGATGTATATTTTCCAGGACTGATGAATGTGTTACTCAAAATTTGTGTATTTGCAGGACCTGGATTGGGCTTTGTTATTTATCCAGAAGCCCTGGCTCATCTTCCGCTTCCTCAGCTGTGGAGTGTTATCTTCTTTGTCATGATCATCCTCCTTGCAATGGATTCTCTGGTTAGACAATAATGTATACTTAAACTGATATTGGCTTCATGCCCTCTGGAAAATATGTCAAACTTAGTTTTCATAAATATGATTTTACACATTCAACTAAATACACCCAATGATTGAGTGAGTTGGTTTAAACGCCACTTGAGTAGCATGTCTGTATTATGGCTTCTTACCCTGTAGAAGAAACTGCAAAAGCTGAATTTGTGATACAGATTGTTATACCATGTGGGTATTCTGGGGCAGGTTTTCTCTCCATGACAAGTACATGTACGGAGCAAGTGCAGTTTTGTACAATGTGGTTTGCAGACTTGATGATGTTCGCAGATGATATTTTCATCTACAGTATTTACAATATGCTATTATATCTACGATGAAAAAAGTATCTACAACAGAACAGTATGACTGAGTCACGACACTGACGATTATATAGAGAATCTCACCCGAGTGTCTTTTAATATCAAATATATCAACACGAGTTGATAAAAGTGGAACAATTCCGAGGCTTGCCGAGTGTTGATATATTTTATATCAAAAGACACGAGGGTGAGATTACATTTATCATCCAACATCATTCTTCCAACTTTTTCAATTTGTAGTCAGTAAGTAGCAGTGTCTTCAATGTAAAAAGTACTGATAACAGCTTCAGTAGCAGAGCCATTAGTGATGTCATTTGATTGTGACGTCATGGTAACCAGTGATGTCACAAACGTCTGCAAAGCTTTGTGATGTAATTTCATTGCGGTGATATCTACAGTGTAGATATCACTTGATCTCATCAAAGCTATATCTCCTGTGGGAGCCAGTTTTGGATGATAAAATATCATATTATCATATATGTAGATGAATATACGTACATGTGAGAAGTATCATCTACGTATATATAAGTATGGTCTACATAGATTTGAGTATCATCTACGTCGGTGGTATTTGTCTATAGAATGTGGCATACGCTTCCATCAGCACAATATGACATGACAGATATTTACTCAGCATGTGCGGTAAGTTGTTCAGTACCTGACATAAATTGGAAACCTCATCGCAAAGGTTCCTGTTGAACAATTTCAGAAAATATATCTTTTTGCATGTCTAAAGACAGCTATATCGTTTTCTTTAGAAAGTGAGTGAGTGAGAAAGTTAACATCGCATCGGCAAAATTGCAGCCATATCCTATCGCGATGCCTTGGGGAAATCCATATGACAAAGACACGTCTATCAAGACTATAATTGTTCTTCATGCCAATGGTGTATCGCGTAAATTCTTAACTCAGATATTCACACCTGTTACTTTTTTTTAAGTTCTCGCAAGTTGAAACCTTCATGACGGCCATCTTGGATGAATACCCCAAGCTAGTGAAATGGAGAATTCCAATCAATGCGGTCTACTGCCTGGTGTCATTTCTCGTTGGGCTTGTGATGACCACTGAGGTTTGTTGGGCCATATGGTTATCATTATGCCAACAGAAACGTGAACTAAACCGTTCCAGAATCCCAATGTATGGGGACTTCTATCGAAAAAACACATGCCTGGTCCTATATTCCGTGATAAAGCCGTATCGTACACGAACTTAGATTTTAAAAGCACACATTAATTTTAATGATTTGTCAATTCTTCCCTTTCCATATTCATAATATATTTTATTTTAAAAATGATAAGATTGACATGTCGGCTGTTTCCAAACATTTCAAATTGTGTGGCTTTCACTACGATATCCTATTATACATCACATGTATACAAACAAACACATTATGAGAGCTAATGTTCATACATCTTGACTTAGACATTGCAATGAGGTTTTTAATTTAAGCTGAAGTCGTGTTTTTTTGGTTACAATTGCAATTTGGACTAATGTGATTTAAAAGAAAGAGAAACACAATGTAAGTTCTGCAACCTGAGTTCTTCCATGTCTATATTTGGATACGAATTTTAATTTCAGAGTGGAGTATACGTGTTCCAGTTACTAGACTGGTACATAGTAGCCATTTTCATCACATTCGCGGCTTTGCTGGAGTGTATCATGGTATCATGGCTGTATGGTAAGGAATGGGAGGTTGGGCGGGCGTCGCTGGCACGAATCCTTTGGTCTTAAAAACTAACTGAGTCAAAGATTAATTGAACATATCTTGTGTTACGTGTCGACTTCAAAATTTATACAATACTTTAACCCAGAAATTTGTACGTAAAAGAATTGTATCATTAAATGAACTAGGTTTACACGTCAATGCTAATTACTGCACAACAATTACAATGGCGGTTCAAAATAGAACGGCAGTACAAAATTCAATGGCAATACAATTACCATGGTAGTATGAAATTTAATTGCAGAGGTAATAATATTCACCTTGCAGCAACACTGGTCAAGCTTCCAAAATAGGCCCAGTCTGAACATCCAGGGTCAGAACAATGATCTTGACACATCCGCTGGTCTTGATGTAATGTGAGATGAGAGATACATGCTCTTTTCCCACTTTTATAGTCTAAATACCTCCTAGTAGGTGCTATCCCATGCCGAATTAGTGTAGCTATTCTAGAACATTCAAGATTACATTTGACTCCAAATGTATCTAAATTATACAATTACTTCAACGCCACTGCTTCAATTAGATAGTACTACATTCATGACAACTAATTATTATCATAACACCGCCTCGGTGGTCTAGTGGTAGAGCGACCGCTGAATCTCAACAGAAACAATGTAACATAATTGCAACATTGTTCAACAAGAAATTACATGGTCATATTACACTCGTAAATAATCCATGTACATCAAGAATCCTGCATTGTCCCAGAACAGCACTTTGAAAGCTGTTAATATTGAAACTTATATATATCTAAAACACAATAGATATTTTACACAATAAAAGTATTGGCAAAAACAGAAGCAGCCTTCGCTGCCTTTTAATTACAACCCCCCCAAAACATGGTTCAACAACGTTAAGAAAAAATGTTTCACTACCCAACAACCCAAAAGACAGTGAATACGAAATCTGATGTTCTCTTCAAAACGATGAACAGTCACAAAGATGTGCTGCAATGTAATCATATTAATTGTTTACTACTGCCAAATACCATTGTCCAACACTCTTACTTATATTATATCATGTTTTGTTTTTCTAGGAATTGACCGTTTCAGTGACGACATTGAACTGATGATTGGCAGACCAGCACCCCTGTTCTTCAAGATCACGTGGTGTTACATTACACCAGCAATGCTCCTGGTAGGCATCAACGTTTGAACTGGAATCGCGTCCCTTTGCCCTTAAGATATAAATGCAAGCGACGAAACCATTTCCATAATCACAAAAAACTCTGCTAAAACAGAGTTCACTGTGCAATTCCGACTGTCATCAGCATGTGTTTATGAATCACTGTCAAATAGTGATGATACTTAAAGTTCGCGAAAAGGTGAGCGTATCCTGCCCCGGCCGGTGGCACTTTCACAAATACATGCAAAGGCAAATCAATTGTTCACCTTAAAAATCACATGTCTACCCTATTAAACTTTTTTAATCTTTACTAATGCCTCCACAAAAATTTGTTTATACCGTACACATAAAGTAAAAGAGCACAATGTATGCAAATAAATGAAAGATGTGTTTTATTTTTCAGACAACGCTCGTTTTCACGTTCCTTCAATATGAACCCCCAAAATATGGACAATATGTGTATCCATATTACACGACTGTAATAGGGTGGATAATCGCTTCCATTCCAATGATGCCAGTTGTAATGATGATGGCTGTTGCTGTTTATCGTGGGAAAGGAGGCCTGTTCCAGGTAATTCAGTGAAAAGCTTTCAACACTGTCAATGAGAACGTTGCTTCATAGACAACATAACACATACGTGATATGGACAGTGCGTGAATTGATCTATGATTGGTATTGTTTTGGTTTAATCTTAATTAGACTTTTGTACTTTTGCAAGAGATCGTACAATATATATATATATATATATATATATATATATATATATATATATCGCTCAATAAAGACCGCCTGCATTGTCTCGTGGATAGAACGTCTGCCGGCGATCGGAAGGTCGGTGGTTTGATCCCCGACTGCGTGATACTAAAGACGTTTAAAGATGGTATGCGTTGTTTCCCTGCCTGGCCTGGCACCCCACATTAAGGGAATAAAACAGGAATAAAACAGGGAATGGTCGGATCGGAGTACGTATAATGTGTCTTAGTGGGGTATCGATGTATTAATCTGCGGCGTGGTATCTAAGTTAGCTTGCACTGTAAAACTGGCATTATTCCGGGATAGTTCCAGAAGCCGCACACACACGTGCATGCACGTCGCGATATAAGTGCACTAATCTTGAACGCGACATGAAACCTAATTTTTCACCTAACGTTTTTTTTAAAATCTACATTGTTGAGATCTTCAGCTGACATTTTAATAACGACACATAATTCGGTTCTAAGTGATTTAATGAAAAGTCCCCACAATGAGAAATCGTGTAATGGTTGGTGTTTAATGGGATTGAAGACATAAACTTGCATAAATGGCTCATTAACAAAGGGTATTATTATATCTCGCAATATTCTTCGCATGAGAGGATATCTGGTAACGGGTCAATGAATATCTGCTTACCGCAGATATGTCAGTATATGACGGCGCATTCAGTGTGTATGCAACACTGTAAAAATGTCCGTATGCAGCTGTAAGATAAATCGTACCAGTGTCACAGATTTCCATGAAATGTGTGTTACGTTTTTTTTGTCTAATGTTCTAAATGAGAGGGTTTTAGGCTAACCTTTCTGTGCACAGTGTCAGGCAACACACTTACATCTTTATGCAAAGTGTGTGAGTGCCGAGTGGTACCGGTAGGGCAGGACATGATTACCTTTTTCGCGAACACCTTTTCGCTCCCACCCAGTCGAACTGTTTCGGTAGATAATGTAGGCTGGTTGTAATCTGTCGTTAACGTTTTATATGTAGCGGTATTGGATATATTTCAGAGGGCCAAGATGTCTCTGAAGCCGGATGTCTCCTGGGGTCCATCTGAACCATCTTACCGTGCAGAGTACATCAAGAAACACAGGAAACCTTCTACTCTCAGGAATGCCTTCAAATCATCGCTATCGTACAGGGCGTAAACCTCAGTTGGTGTTTAGTACACTATTAAAATTAAAAATTAAATTATTAATAAAAATCTTCAAGATATACATATCTGTCATTTTTCATATATATTTGTTAAATATTTTTCCGTCTGACCAATAAAGAGTATTGCATTTTCATTCATAATGGTGTAGTGAAGAAAGGTCTTTTCATAGCGCACGAGGGGGAGAGACAGGTGGTTAGATATTAAATCGTACGAAACACGAGTGTCTTATAAAGTTTATGTTGTACAAGGTTGATGTTGTTTCATTCGTTGTCATTCATTTGTATAACCGGGACCTCACTGAAGGCCACACACGATTTACTTTTTATTTAACCAAACAAGGATGTCACACACTTCACTTCCGCAATATAAGACCCGTGAAGATGCCGGGTAGAATAGGTCTTCAGCAACCCATACTTGCCGTAATAGGTGATGCTTGTAGTAAAAGGCGACTAACGGGATCTGGTGGTCAGGCTCACTGACTTGATTGATGCATGTTATCGACCCCAAGTTCGTAGATCGATGCTCATGATGTCGATCACTGGATTGTCCGGTCCAGACTCGATTATTTACAGACCGCCGTCATATAGCTGGAATATTGCTGAGTGCGGCGTTAAACAACAAACCAACAACCAACCGCAATACAAGCTGTATTAGCTATATGTTAACATAGATCAACTACAGATAATATGCAATAGCGTAGACTACAGATACATCGAGGTTTCATGGTCGAGCCCTGTGTGCGTAACGTACCCAGGGATTTGCGTCTTTTATTTTCATTTTCTGTTACAAATTCCGTAGCGAAATGAATCTAGTACTTGTAATATTTGTAACGATACTAGTTTTAAATCTACATCTGTAATAGCCTAGTTATTTTACTGTCCGTTATCGACAGGTTTTATATAGTCTACATTTATGTATTGTTAATGTATATCTAGTTTTAGTCACGATATACTCCTGAGGTAACTCACTCACACACTATCGTCTTATTGCCATGTCAACATCATAAGCACTATTAATTTTTCAATCTCGTTTCCGTTAAAATGGGCGACTACTTTAAAGAAGTCATGCAATTTTTATTCATCAGTTTGCTTTCAATGTTTTATTGCTCAATAACACCTTCTTAATGCGTTGTGCAATTATACTCAATCATGTCTCTTCGTTCACCTTTTCGCAAACACCTGGTTGGTTGGTTGGTTTGGTTGTTTAACGCCGCACTCAGCAATATTCCAGCTATATGACGGCGGTCTGTAAATAATCGAGTCTGGACCAGACAATCCAGTGATCGACATCATGAGCATCGACCCACGAACTTGGGGTCGATGACATGCTTCAACCAAGTCAGCGCGCCTGACCACCCGATCCCGTTAGTCGCCTCTTACGATAAGCATAGGCGCATTTTACGGCAAGCATGGGTTGCTGAAGACCTATTCTACCCCGGATCCATTTAACATTGATATCGATAGTGATGAATCATCAATACACCAACATTAACTCTGCAGTTCTCGTCGGTCATGTCTACACCGGATTCGTAATAATGTGAAGAAAAGGCGTTACACATTCTCCTGTGGGTCAAATAGGCATTCTTTCCTAATTCTGGTACATGCAATATATGTTTTGCATCTTTTTCTGCTGCTGAAGTTGGAAAAGCTGACACTGACAAAATCTTGCAGCTCTTTCAGTCTCTTACTTGGTGCAAGTAAAGACAGTAACTCGGCACCAGTACAGTCAGCTGAGAGCTTCATGCCTGGCAAATGGTTAACCTCATTAGGTCATGAAGTGTTGATATCCAAACTATGTCACAAAAGTCTCACAACAAAAATTGATGGTGAAGAAAATGTAGACTACTTTGAAAAGCTGAAAATTGTTCACTACAGTGAACTGTATCAGCAGTTGGCATTTGTAATTGACAACATCTCAGAAAAAAATTTCTTCGATGACAGGACAGGTATATATGCAGATGAAAACTTGAAACTTTAGGAAGAAAATGAAAACTTCAAACAGTGCCCACAGTGCAAGTTCTTGCTGGAGAAAAACAAAAGAAAATGTGGAAATTGTCATATTACATTGTCCGTGTACTAGCAAAGCTTGGAAAGAAATGGAACTGATGAACCAACAAATGTACAAACAAACCAGATGCATGAACACAAAGGAGATGACACCAAAACTAAGAAAGTGAAACAGTCAGCTGAATCATCATATCGGTATGACCATATTGAAACCAGTCATGGCCCAGATCCAGTTGACGTTATTCTCCTTGCTCCTGTTTTTGATAACCCCAATTCAGTATAGAACATTATTCTTGTATTGTGACATGTCAGACATTAGGCTGGAATTATCAGATACAATGCAGATGGCATACGGTTTTGGACAACAGTATGCTGTGATGGACTTCCACATGGACTTGTCAAAAGAGTGATGGAAGAGTACCTGAGATGCTCCATTTGTGGCGAAGTGTTTATGGGTGTCCAGGATTCTCAGAGACATGGACAAAAGTCCCATGCTAATGAAGATGCTACTTTTTATCATGACGTTGACTGGGTACTGTTACTCACGGGAATGGGTCATTATGAAATGAATTTAATGAAACGTTTCATTAGGAGATAAACATAATGTGTTTTCAATTTAGAGCTGGGTAACCTGTAGATTTAACCGCGCTAAATTTAACATTTGAAACCTCACGCTGCGCGTTCCGTTCCAAATTCAATTTAGCGGGGTTAAATCTACAAGTAACCTAGCTCTACATTGAAAACACAGCATGTTAATCTCCATTCTACCATGACTAAATAAAACGTGAACTCTTTGGTGTTAGCAAATAAACTGAGTGAAGCGGTATGGGTTTAGTCCAGTGTTTTGAGTGGGTTATCGATCTGAATTACGGAATCACCGAACAAAATATGACGCTGTATAGACTCAAGCAGTTTGTTTACACGGTAATACTTCACTCGAACATTTGACAGGCATTGAAAGCATACAAGCACGGCAACTTGGTAAGCTGACATTAGGTGGGCATCCAAAAAGAAAACGAAGCATGCTTTGCAAGGCTTTCGCTCTACATTGCCCGTCACAATTATGACGTCATATCGCTCATTGTAACGCAAAAGATATGACGTCACAGTCGTATATAGAAAAGCGCCAAAATTCCAAACCCTCTGTTGTCTCCAAAACGTAAATATATTCCCTTTCTAGATTTCTATCGTGTTTTCTGCACGAAATGTATTGCCACACATCCTTTGAATATTGTAGTAATATAATTATTTAAATATGCCTACCGACAATGACTGACAATAGTACTATTCTATGAATATTAGCCTCCGCGGTGATGCGGCCGTCAACCCAGCTATTTCAATCAGAGGGGGTTTATTGTGATTTAATAGCCTCTGATTGACCAATCAGAATCGAGTAAATTCCAAATTCATGGTAGAATGGAACTTAACTGGGATACTTTCATGAAAAGCGTTGCTGAAACCATGGGTTGGACATCAGAAGCAGCCTTGAAATCTGCATTTCATTGCTCAGACAATCACAAAGCATGGCAACTGCTACTGACATTCCATATTGGTAGTATGTGCGAACTTGTTCAACCATATGTAACTCACTGCATGATTTCTTGCATGAAACCTTCGGCTGAAGGATTCATTTCCTTTGTCAAGGACAAAGAAAGCAATGATGACTTCTTTCTGTACTTGTTTGAAGTGGTTTGCAAGAACAGCCAAGGAATTGTGAAGGAATAACTGGCTCCTGTTACAGTCGGCAAAGTTAATGACAAATGAATTGTTACATTGACGTACCAAATATACATATTTATGACCAGTTTGTCAAGGAGGTTATGCCACAGAGAGTAAAGCTGTTTGTTCAAATGCATGCCTCAATGTTTATAAGTGGCCATCAGAGTAAAGGACAAGGATATGATTTTATGCAGGAGGAAGAAGAAAAAGGTGAAATCTTGGCTGACACAAGGTGTGCCATCAGACAAACCCTGAGTGACAACTTGCAGGAATCACCAGTACTTCAAGAACATTCGGTCATACGTCATGTCGATGGCTGGAATTCATTTGAGTGAAAACACAAACAGAGAATTAAACCTGAATGAAGGATTAAGAAAATGGAGAATACATCTGAGAAAAGCAGGTTACATCAAACACCACACTGCTCTGTCCTTAATTACAGGCAGTATTTTGAATCAAACACTCTCCAGTTTTTCTGAAGAAGCTAGTAGAAAACTTGGATACTGCATACTTGAAATGCTGCTGCAACAAGAGCCACCAAGTGATCCAAGTCTGAACCACCCTGTCTATGTGAGATGTTGAGGAAGAGTCCAAGTATTCCGCCGTTCAAAGCATGGCAATCCCGGATATTCTACCATGACATTGATGAATGTTTTTTACTGATTGGTTGAAAAGAGGTTTCCTTTTTGGTACGGAAACCCCTTTCAAATATATTAAGCCTTTTCACAAAATAAACGTGCGTATGAATACATAGATAGCCTACATATCGATTCATAGAAAATAGCTGCCGATCGATCACCCCCATATGAACTGTAAAACTTATTTATATTTCCTCTAATACATGCTGGGTCTCTAATACCAGCCAGGTTTCTAATACACGCCGAGTCAAGAACTCTCTCGAAATTAATTGACGGCATAGCGTCAAATAGAGGAAATACGGTAGTTTGATATTGGATGCTTTGAGCGTTGGCGAGGCCGCAACCCTGACTGCTTCGGTGATGACATTAAAAGATTTAACGAAGGCATATCTTTTGCATACAGATGAAATGTTTATGAAACTGTTAGGAAATGTTCTATGGTGACCAGAATCGGACCAATTTAAGCTATTTCCTCATTGAAACAACCGACAATGAAAGTAAAATATAACATTATAAAAATTGTTTGAAAAAACTTTATTCATGACAACATGTTGTTTACAAACCTTTTTGTGATCGATATTGGTTGCTATCTCCGTCGACCACCATCGTAAGGATTTGGCAGAAAAGGATTTGAAGGTCCATCACTCAGAAAACACTTGTCCATTCGAAAATCCACAAAAACGATGTCCCGACATCATTGAAGTCAAACTTGATGAAATTCATTTCAGATCACACACAATTAAGAAAATCAGACACGACCCACTATGTCTGGGCGACGAATGTCTCATTCGTTCACACTCTGGCTTGGAATCCATGAAATCTTGAAATTGACTGGTCTTATCATGTAGATACTGAGATAGGCCCTACCTCGAGTAAAAATGTCCGGC